TTAACTTGTGAGTCAATTATAACTATAATTACGGTGGGTACCAAGAATTACGTCGGATCCGACGTACATACAGTGTATCATATATCTTATACATATAATGTATTAGGAATGTGACTTTGTTTTAAGTGTTTCGCAAGAGATGGCATTAATGTCAGTGTTGTCGAACACATTTCAATCACAGCTAGCTATTGTTTTTTAATGCTTTCATATTACTCCATGATATTTACATGTACTATTTTAAAAATGCAGCTTCTTAAAGAGTTTATTTTCGACACTCGTTGCTTTATTTTTTAATCACAAGAAAACGGCGGCTGAAAGTCGCCATTTCAAGAATTCTAATAGAAACTTATGATGTTGCTCCATCAATTAAGACATGTGAATATTGGTTCAGTCTTTAAAGATTTTTAGTGTTTATACCATATTATTTTATATTTTAATATGTCATTTCCTCGATCCATGCGGTAAAAAAGTGAAGTAAATTAGAATAAGATGTATAATATTATAATACCATTAAAAAAGTAAAACTTTATAATTACGATAGAATAAGACCTTAGTTAAGCTTTAGTTAACCAAGACTACACTTCTCTGCTATTATATATATACTTCTGCGAAATTCATTTGAATTAAAATATAACTTTCTCAGTTTTCAGTGTATTTTCAAAAATTCTAAAACTTCAATTATTAGTATATTCATTTAATTGTAGTATGCTTTTTTAACAAAGTACACAATATTATTACATACATTTAGATAAAAGATAAAAATATTTCTGCCTCAATAGAGTTTCCCCAACTTATAAAGATTAGATAAGTGTAGAATTCCTGACCCACGATTATACATAGCACCTAAAATATCCAATGATTACCGCTTTATATATATTGCATTTTTATTAGAAATAATTGTAGTTGTGCCAATAAAGCATTGGTTTTCGATCGCCAATATCAAGAACATTTTTGTATATGTATCATCCAAGCTGCAACATAAAAATAGGATAAATTAAACAATATCTTGAAGTTGACTTGTCGAAAATAAAACTCATTTTATGATAAATTAGAATATTATTAATCAAATAATAATATTAGTCTAACTTTATTATAGGTACATTATAATTATTTAAATAGCTAATCATTATAATGAACAGACTCTTATTATCTTATTATTATCTTTTATCTTATTATATATAACGTTTATCCAATCGTTGATTTTCCGGACATTGCGGTCTATTCGGTATCTGTATGAAATGAGTGAGACCAAAACTGTTGTTCTCTTGGGCCTGTTGCTGTTGATATCCGGTCTGTAATGGACGATTCTTATTGCCCTGACAAGTCATTGATAGTGATAAATTTATCACTATCAATACAATTACAGACATTACAAACATTCTCGCCATTTTTAATATTTAAATTTTAATAAATATCTGTCACGCACACACGTATACAAGACCAGCAGCAAATTTGAACGTTATCCTAATAATTAAGAATCCGAGACACTACTGGCATTAAAATCTCAACAATTCTGATTCTTGTTGTATTCTGACAGGTTCCTCCGAATATTTCCGCTATTTATAGTCATCTTTAGATATGTGTGATTATGTAAACTACGTTTTTATTACTACTTTAAACTCGCTGACGTATTTAAAATGTTGAATTGTAGAAGAAGTAATAATGAAGTATAAAGAAGTGATGAGAGGATGCTGTCCTTGAACTAAATCATTAATATTTATTACGAATATTATCATGTTGCTTTCTAAAAATAAAACTTAATTGCAATTACGATTAAGGAATTAAATAACGATCCCATTTTTTATAATATAAAAATCAATCTTGACAATATACATATATTGTTACCTTCCCAACTCGAAGTTTAATGGAAATAAACTAAAATTTCTATTTCTTTTTATTGTGTGTTTATTTTTTAAATATAAGACATTATATCTCAAATCTAATTATCTTCCTCAATTTTTAGCAGAATAATTAATGTCTTATCACGTTTTTTTAATTATTCATAATAATCTGATATTAATACATTAACAAAAATCGTCAAACTATTCATCACAATTAATTCGCTCATTTAGATAGCTCAACAAAAAGTCAGGTTTATAAGAAATATATGTTATATAAGCAATAATATTTTTTATTTATTCTATTTTTAAAATATTCATGATACTTAGTTCACATTTTAATAAAGATAAACAAGTATTTGTAATTATATTGAGACTGAAATACCAAAACGAAATAGCTTCAGATTTTAATAATGTATTTTAACTTACAAGATTGAAATAAATTTGAAGTGTATGTGCTGCGTTGTAATTTAAACTAATTGTTATTATATTTCTTATATTTTTTGTAATAAAATGATATAATAGAATAATATCAAGTAATAATCATTAATATCAGTAATATCAATAATATCAATATGAATAATATAAAAAGTTTGTCAAATAAGTGCAATCTTAGTTCATATTTAAACAAATAATTCCATAATTGCTAGAATTTGAATAATTACAACAAAATTAAGTTGAAATTAATATCAGTATAATCTTTTATATATTAATATAATAAAATAAAATTATCTGAATCATATTATTAATAAACTATTTTATTTTTCCTAAAAAATTATTTTAAGAAAAAAATAATTAAAAATTAATTTTAACGTATACGTTTTTATTCTTACTTGTAATTATTTCAACAGGTATTGTCTATCCTTATTCCGCGTACCCATTCGAATAATCCTTTCGGTAGACATTAAATTTTTTTTTATTCCCTGACAAATTGTTATCGACAATGCAAATGACAACCAATAACAGAGATATAAGTATCATAAGATTTTTCATTTTTAAAACGTGTAAATTTTAGGCAAAGTTCAGGGATAAAACAACTTCGTTGCCTTCGAATATATAAATTCGTAGAAATCCTTAAATAAACGTTCAACAATTCCATAAAGATTAGTACACGTTCTATTAGGTATTCCATGAAGATTAATACACACATTCTACTAGGTCCTTGTGTATTAGCTCTTCATAATCATGTCTAAACGATTACGGCTTAACATAATTCATCAATATTTTTATTGCCAACCGCGCTTAAGGCCAGCTATAAAAATGATGTGTAATTAACCAATTTCTTTATGACTATAAAAATTATAGTCTTTAATTTAAGGATATTATAAACATTAATACATAAATATACCAATATTTTGCGTAATAATGAAACTGTAGATATTTAAAAGATAAATATTTTATTGTGTCCCCCGCTTTATATTTCTCATTAAAATTTATTGAATTTAAACTTAGATTAATCTAATAATAAAAGATATCTCGTACGCAAAAATTATGTACAGCACAATAAAAAATGTTCCATTATAAATATAATATCTTAACTAAATTTTAACTAAATATTTGAATGTGTGTGTGTGTGTTCGAAATATGAAAGATATACTTTAGCAAAGAAAAAAATATTTAATAAAAGAAACTATCAGTAATTTACAACAAAAACGTTATTCTTTTAAATATATTAACTGCCATATTATTCATTATTTGTCTCTAACAACTCTCTGTTATTTAAATATGATGACGTTAAATTTTCTTCAGATAAAAGTCTCGTTATTTAGTGATATGTTACAAAAAAAAGTTATAAATGTGTTTGGGTTTTGTTGAAACTTTTTCATTGATAGACTTTTTTTAAAATTGAGCGTTATTCATATAAATGACACAACAATTAATTAAGTAAGTTTTTGGATCATATGATTTAACATAAAGATGTAAAAATAAGATATCGACAATAAATACAAGAAAAAACGTAAATAATGATTCTCAGCGACTACAAATATGGACCTAGATCTTGTGTATATTGAGAATACTTTATTATTGTGATATGCGAGCAGCAATAACACTGAGTAGCAAACGAATGTCTTAACTAATGTAAAGGATGGCAGAGACAAAAAGCGTGATACCAGTATACGTGAATTTTTTAACAAATTAGTCGGTATCGTTGACCACTAGAGCCGCGCGAAACCACCTCTCTTTATATTTATAATAGCAATCGTTTCATCATCTCGATCGCCTTTAGCGGGGCGGTTAACTGCTCCATACACGGAGCAATTAATTATACGTAGTCTGCATTAATCTTTGCAAATTGGGACCGAAATCCTCGAAGTACGCCCTACAATTTATAGTACTCCTATGGTCATTGGATTGCGCAATAAAACCAATCGTCCTAAAACAAACGCAGATTTTTTTTTTTAACTCTCTGACTTGGTTGAATTATAAACGAACGATGAAAGATAAGGTTCTTTGTTACGAGATCATTATGTATACATAGTGTTTCAGTATAATTCTTTAATTGACGTGAATCATTATGATTCGTGATCAAAATCTCGCAATTTCCTTTTATTTACAACGCATGATTAATAAAATAAATATATATATATAAATTTTTATTTCTGTCAAACATAGAACTAAAATATAATTTACTCACATTAATTGTTGACAGTATTTAATACTTTAGGTTACAACTGAATAACGTTAATTATAAAATTGTACAACAAATACTTCTTTAATTCCGTTTCTTATTTATTCAATCTTGTCAAGGATCAATTTTTGCGCCTCATAAATTCTTCGAAAAGATATCGTCATCAATTCTTGCTCTTTAGATGTATATAACATATGAATAAAGGATTGTACGCCGTTTCTCCCTACTACACAAGGTAATGACGTAAAGATATCCTTTTCCAGTCCGTGTTGGCAACCCTAAAATACATTTGACAATTTTGGCTAAGGGAAAGAAGAGTTGTTGTTCACAGAAATATATTAATTTATATTTGCAAACAAAAAATTTACGTACATTTACGTATGTATATACGCGTATATCATATATATATATATATATATATATCATTATTTTTATATTTATTATAAATTTTCTTTTATTACAACGAATGAATGTTATCATGTATATAATAATGAATATAATGTTGTAATTATACAATAAAATAAATTAATATTATAATTATACGACGCGAAGGAAAAGCAATAAGAGATATAGTTATCAAAGTAATATCACTAAACATAAGTTTAATAGTTCTAATAAAATTGATCAGAAAACCTTCATAAATGTAGAGACAGTAAAACAAGCACAAGTATTGCGCACGATAGCATCAACAATTTCGCCTGCACAGATTCCAACTGCCCAACTGTGATAGCCTTTCTTGAGGATCAATTCATTATCGGTATTGACAACTTTCGCATGTAAATCGCCCCAGGATTCCGGATCCGTTCTTGTGCCGATCTCTTTATTTATATCTTTTAAAGGCATGCCCATTACCGCAACAGCGGACCAGACCGGTACTAATATTATATATTAAAATAAAGAGTTTGTATGTAAGTGAGAATGGAAATTAGCAAAAATTAAATATTTTGTCCTTTTCGACTTCTCTTTTTATAAAGCTATGAAGATCCATACAAAGTCGGATTTTGCAATTTAGTCCTTAAAATATTGTACTAAATAAAATTATCTCTACTTCAGCTGCTTCAAATTATCTCTACTTCTACAGTACATATATCAAAACAAATTTTTATTTTGCTTTGTTACGAATATCGTAATTACATTGCGATTTTCTCGATATTTTAGCTGTAATGGACAGAAATTCTTTGGCCTTCATCGTGTCTTCGACGTGTCGACTTACGTCGATTCGTAAATAAAAAGTACAGAAATATTACAATTGCAATATTTTAATGCTAATTACCAGAAGCTGGTCCGCTCTCACCAATGATTAACGCTTGAATTGCATTTGCTGAAAGTCCGAGTTTTTGAGCGATAAAATACTGAAATCTGCAGCTGTCTAGAAACGTTCCCAATCCTATAACACGATTTGGTGGAAAACCAGACAGCTTCATAGCAACGTACGATAGAATATCAACTAAATAACATGATCAAAATAATTATTCATGTATTATACTGTACTTGTGTAATGTTCGATTAAAATTGATCAATCTCGAATTATAATGCGTTTAAAATATCTCAGAGAATATAATCATAGAGAAGCACTAACATGTTGCTATTTATTAAATATATACAATGCTTATTAGAGAAAGCCAGACGATATATATGTGTAATTTCTAATATGGCAAACACATTAAGTGCATAGTAATAAGAGTGTACCTGGCTTTGAAAGAATGAGAAGAACGCTGTTCGGCGCGTACTTGGAAACGTTAGGAACGACGTCCTTGAAAATTTTTAGATTATGCTCTAGATAATCGGCTGGCCGCAGATCTTCACGAGACTGGCTTCCAACTGTGATCACGCATACCGCTGCGTCTCTGGCACAAGCATAATCTATCGGAGCGTAATACATGTTGGATGATTTATCGCTTATCACAGAATTTTATTTATTTTCATTTGTTTTGCGCTTTTACACGAGATATATATTTGTGTAAAAAAAATAAACCCCTATTCTAAAACATAAACCTATTCTCTCTATTTATTCAAAAATCGGAAAAGAAAATAATATAATATAATAATCATAAAATATTCTTAAATTTTTATTAACTTTATTCCCAAGAAGAAATAAAAATCGACGTCGATCCGATTTTTATTTCTCGCTGTATTAACAATATTATCATTTATCAATTGCTAATTAATTTCTAGATAAGCGTATAGCTTGTGCGTTCATCTTACGACATCACGTGAAAATCATGCATAATTCATCTTAATTTTATTAACACTCGAGATGTCATTCAACGCAGGCAATAACGCGGATGTTACCTCTGGCGACCTTATCGCTAATCGCAATCGCGCTATTTACTTATCGAACGTTAAAGCGTGGTCGTTTTGAAATAATTGCTCGTTACTCGCGGACAGTGTAATGACGGTCTCGCTATTTTTCTGCAGCCTCCTCCCATCGGGCTTCACCTTTGGTACCGACAATCCTGGGATTGCCGAGGTATGCTGCCGCATGGCTGATGTCTTCTGCTTCCGCCTTGGCGAGATCCTCGTTCACATCTATGAGGACGAGCTCGGAGGCAAGGCGCTGCGAAAAAATCACAGAGGGATGAATGGTTGAACAGGGTAGTGAGCAGAGAAGCTAGAGAGTAATTAACGGCAACTAGTTGCTGCCCAGCAGGCAGCGTTATTACGCGCTTCGAATCGTTACGCAACAAGAGCATCAGACCCTCCCCCCGAGAATCACATTAAGATGCGAGTGAGTACGCGATCAATCGCACTGTTTGCAAAGTCCCCTAATGCGAGGAATCGTTAAGATCCGATCAAGAAACAGTGTTGAGAAGTGCATTATTTTCGGGGGAATCCACTATGTCGGTTTCGCTTCATCGTGATCGTCGTGGTTGCCGCCGGTGTCTGGTGACACAAACGATGTCTTGCGCAGGGCGATAACTCATTCATGAATAATTATGGGACCGGTACGGCTTCTTCTCGTCGGTTCCTCTTCCCGGGGACTACCGTCCGTCCTACCTCCGGCAATCGCTACAAGATTTTCGGCCGTAGCGACCGCGTTCCTCATGAAATGTCAAACGAACATGAAGAATGCTTCTACGACCCTCTGTCTGCACGTGCTTCATTTTTCTCCCGCAATCATGGTTTCTTCGTAAATGTTGGCTATTTGTTTCCCCATGAATTTTTTATAGTTTCATTAACGTAACGTACACTAGGGGTACCCAAGGATATCGTAAATGTAACGTTATACGAGTCCGTGAAGTGTGGCAAATGGCACGGCAAACGAGTGGTATAATAAGGGACCGCTGGTAATCTATATTCGTTTTTGAACGATAGATCATTAAGCTTCGAGCGGTTCTAATTTGTGCAGGTTAATTTGTAGTATAATGGGATATTCGGACAATCATGTAAATCACCCCGTAAAAGTTAATGGGCATTATTCTCGTAGGACCATCGTATCGCGTATACAAACGCGTTTTTGTAGTAATGACGACGAATGGTGTATATTACATGATGTATGTTAACACTTTACGTTATATACATTTTAAGACGCTTATATATGAACAGATGGACGTATTTTCCTCAGACAGATGGTGCTTTCACACTTCACGTTAAGACAAACGGCGGACTAACTACAAAACGACTTCTTAATATATTATGTTGAACTCTTCTGCTTTCGATTTGTTATTGTACACCACTTAATTATCTTCATCAAGCGTGTCTTCCGAAAGGTGTGGAGTATCGTGAGCTGTTGAAACTTTTGAATAGATCCGTCACTTTTGTCTTGCAATAATCGTAAGCATATAATTTTCATTTGCGTTTATTATATTTTTAATTACAAATACTTAGTAAATTTCTTTTTAATATTTTGGATTTCTTCTTTTTTGTACTATTTTTATTTGTATAATAAAAATGCTTATCAATTTCTTTTAATCGGATAGATATGTTTTTTTTTAATGTAGATAAAAATATTTTTAAGATATTTTTTTCAATAACGTATTACACAGAAAATTATCAAGAAATATTTCACCCAAAAGAAATAATATTTGATTATTGGATTATATATTAATGTATATAACAAAATGTTAGACTTCACAATTAATATAAAAATGTAGAAGACAGAATAAATATTTCTGATCAGTTTTTTGTCTTCCATACTGATCCATATTTAAATAATTACATAGCTGTAAAAACACCATTGTAAACCAGAAATATTGTTACTAGAAATGTATTTTATCAATGCTGAAATGCAGGCAATAGTCATTTTTCATTAATCCTTGAAACATTTATTCTCGTCGTGATAACACGATGATAAGTTTGGGAGCAAGTTTTAATTTCCTTATTTTACTGAATCATTTAAATGCTCACAATTTCTCACTATCTGATACTCTGTCCGTAAGATGACATAACTACTTGCATATTAAATATCGATGTAGATATGGCCCAGGATATATCAACGAAGTATCTTTCGCTGAAGGTTCTGCCCGTATAATTTGCACAGCTTGATACGGACCATCCAACACGGTGTGTCACAATGAGACAAGAAACTGAGAGAACAACAAGAAAAAAGATGTCTGACGCGCTACAGTTGTGAAGAATTTGGGTAGGTTCGCAAGGTAGACGGCAAGCGATCGTATTTTCGTACTTTGCGATGATCTCGTTGATGCAATCTGCCATGCTGCAACGCAAAGTGCAGCAGCACGACTCGTCATATCTTTCACTTCTTGCTCGTCTTCTTGAAACGCTCCTTCCTGTTTTTTTCCACAGCGTCTTCTGCCGCCGAACGTTCCGGTAATCAGGAGATCTTCATGGTCATGTCGGACAAGCGCCATCAAAATTTCGAGTTTTGTAGTTAGTCTTAAATAATCTATATTGGCTAGAATACAATTACATGTTTTATATATTTCTAATTATTTTCGAATTTTTATAAAGACTAAAGAAGTCATTTGTCATTGTCAAAAGAATCAAGGAAGTGGTTTTGAGAAAATCCATAGTATTACATTAATTTGACATGAAACGCAGGAAATTTTCCTCAAAGCTGTTATCATGTACGATAACAAGTTTCATTTATTTCTAATTAGTATACATTTCTAATTTTTATAAAGACTAAGGAAGTCATTTGTCATTGTCAAAAGAATCAAGGAAGCGGTTTTGAGAAAATCTATAGCATTAATTTGATATGGAACGCGGGCAATTTTCCTCAAAAGCTGTTATCATGTACGATAACGGGTTTCCTAATATCCTAGTTATTCTCGGTACTATCCTGACTCCTCCTCGATAATATACACGATAAACTCCACTATATATTATTTAGTCTCTCGATATACACCATAAGTCCGGCCAACGAGAAGTCTATCGTCCGTCAGTTACGCCCTCCGCGTCTCACCGCATGCACACACCATTGTTTGCCCTCGTAAATTTGCGGAAACCGAAACCTAGAATTAGTCGCCCACATTTATTACTCTCTACCGAATGTACCCAACATATGGATACAACACTAGCTGTTGCACCTTGCAGCCCACAATGCGTTCCGTCTAACTGTTAATTTTCCTTCTTGATGCAACAGATACGAAATAATGCCTAAACAATACAATGGTAATATATAGTTTCATTTAGAATGTTACAAACAATTTCATATTTCTCACATTTTCCATTATTACATAATTGGGGCTTGTTAAGACCAAAAAGTAAGTCTATGCGCAACTATTCCATGAAATTTTTAAAGAGCTTCTAAGCACATCCTTCATAAAATCTTAAATCAACTATTATATTGCAATACTATTTGTATTCGTTTCGCGAGGATTTCAGACGAACGGCGTTATAAATTGCAGTCTCTCTCCATAGTTACTAACATAAATCAGTCAGTTAGAGCCGTCTTGCGGGGGCGCATTGGCCGACGTGTAAATGCTCGCGTTACGATCCGATAACGAGCGAAAGGTTCGGCCCACTTCTCTACATCTTCTATAGTCTTCTTCCTGCTATCTCCTTTCCTCTTTCATATTCCACCCTACTCCTTCTTATAACCGAATTCCCTCTTCTGGTCTTCCGTGGATCATTTGCATAATAGCCTTTTTGAGCCGGCACACACGTACACACTAACGAGCCTACATTCAGGAGCCTCTGTAGACCTGCAGGTATACTCATGCACGAACCTACACACGTTAGGGCATTCCTTGGCTCGTCCTTTGTTGGGTGCAACTCGAGGGTATATCTCCCGAGGTCCACCAACGTGTAGCATTATATCTTTGATCCTCGACGAACAAATACGAATTACGTGCTCGAACCATGTGGATACCGGCGCTATGTCTCATTCACTCTATATCATTGTGGACATGTTTAGATTGACGTATCGAGCACATTATCGTATCATCTAATGGAATGAGACACGGATCTATTACGCACACGTGCATTAATCAATGTTGATATACCTTCGAAGTATATAAATTGTACATCAATGAAGTAATAATATATTAGTATTGACATTGACTTATACCCATCAGCATTTTTACGAAGTTAATGGTAATTTATGAAATGTACTATTAATATCAAAATATTATACTGTTAAAAAAACAAATTATAAATTTATAAAGTATGCATCTATAGAATTACTGCGCGAATTAATTTGTAAATAAATTTTTATGCTTACATAATATTTATCATCAAAGGTTATAAAAAGTATAACAATTTTTTGTTCATTATCTATGTATGTGCCATCATATGCTTAATAAAAAATATGTGCTGCTATATTTTATAAAATAATTAAATCATTGTTATAATAAAAATACACAGCGTATATGCGTAAAAAATTAATTAAAAAATCAAAATGGTACGAAAGGTTAGAAACTAGAAAAAAATCGAAAATCCACCAACTTTGAATAGAATCGCTATAGCGACCGCAACACCCTTAGGCGCACTGCCCACGACGACGACCTTGACACGATGGCCATCCACAAGATGTTCTGCCTGTTTGGCCAGTAAAACAGTTACCGTATTGCTGGCTACCTCAGGTGATTTCTTTCTCGTTTCGGTCATATCCACGATACACTTCTGGTTGTACACTTATGGTGGATATTCTTCCACTTGGAGGTATAACACCAAATAATTTAGACGAACCAAAAGTCGCTTGACATCGTGAATATTTCTAATTAAAACCACAAAATTTGACGTATCGTCATCAAAATTTACATAAGATAGGATACGTCTGGAAAAGCAGACAGTCGAAAAAAATATCTTTGACAGGAGGTGAATGAAGTTAACAACGGAAATGTAGCAAGTAGATTTACTGTCAATTTGAAATGGCTACATAAAATGGAATATACAATAAGGTGATTATATTGGTTCTGTACGATCGAACGTGAGAGAACTCTCTCTGCCTTTCGTGTTCAACATACATATCTCGTACGCTCATAATGTACTATATGTACGAGATGTGAACCTCAAGTTATCTTGTAGCGGGAGATATACAATCCGATTAACACGTTCGATCACAGATGAAAAGATGCTATCGATAAATTCAATCGTGCCGTACAGAATCAATTATAATCGGAAAGAATGCTCGTTATACAAAAAAGTAAATGCTCGGGGCAGATGTAGAGACGAATCGCCAATTGTGGACGTATCGTTCCTATGATTTTCGTTTTTCTGCGGATAGAAGGTCGTAAAATTGATCGACAGCTGCTACGAAGCCGCACAGGTGGGATGCGCTGCGTTCCTGGATACTGCCAATTTGTATTTTACAGGATATTTGAGAAGGGATCAAAAAACGATTCTTAGAAATCGACTCTTTTATTCCTTATAGACCTCATTAAAATTCAGTTTACTATTCTTTTTCTTATTATAAAAGTGTAATTCTGTGTGTAATGTTTCATCCCATTAATTATTATCCAATAATTATTCAATTTCTACGATTAAAAAATTACATATTATATATATATATATATAACTTTATATGTATAAAATACAACGACTTCACTACACAAGACTTAAAACTAAAAAAAGATTGTAGTTTAAATTATCCAATTTCCTTTAGCCGCAACTCTCAACCTTATACTCGCCTCTCAACCTTATACTCGCATGCAATGGAGAGTGCATTTTCATCCGCCCTTTCACCTTTCCGCTGTACATCGTTCGGTTGCGTAAATCAAAATTCGATCGAGTAAAAAAGAAACGGTAATAAGCTCCGCACGCGTGGAATATTGTAGCGTGTACCGTTCGCAGGCAATCTTAGGAGAACGCGGCTGATTTAATTTTCCAGGAAGTCGAGTTTCACTCATATATCGTTTATTATGACGATCGAATGTACGCACGCAGAAAACCGGTTGCCAGGTGCAGCATTGCCCTTATTGATGAAGATGCATTCTAAAACGTCGTTCCTTCTCTCCACTCCCTTTCCTCTTCTTCGCTATTTCCGCGCCACGTATCCGTTCTGGTCCGTTCACATCCGTTCGCAAGTCCTTTACGTTCGCTCTCCTCTTTTCCTCGGTCTACCGGTCGTCACTCTTCAATGTCGCTCGACTCGCGAAGAATGCCACACTCACGTAGCACACCGCGGATGCTGTCGGCGCACTGTTGTACCGCCGTCTTTTCCTGATCGTTCAGCTTCTGTCGCACCGTGGCGTACACACCTTCCCGACCGAGAACACAGGGTACCGACATGTACACGTCTTTATCGGTCCCGTGGGCACAACTCTGTGAACAGAGACTCCTTGATCTTGTTTTTCCCGTCGTGTCAATCGATACATGCGAATAAATGCACCTGAGAACGCTTTTTTTAAGGTACAAAAATACTTTACTTGTTAGTAAAGAGTCAACATAATTATAAAGTCGATAAAACACAAGAAAAAGCGAATTAAAAAATTATCATTATCTTATAACTTATTATATGCAAATTCCTTTCTTTTCAATATTCAATTCCTAATTAATTATCCTGTAATCTATGCTTCAACCAATTGGTACCAGAAAAATATTGAATTTTTATACAACTCAAATGTGAAATCTTAGAATTAAATTAATGCGTTTAATTTTAGAGTAATATTAGCAATAAGCTATTAAAATCTATCTAAATTCACTCAATAATTTTACTGAATGTGTTAACATGATTATATCTCTCACGTGTATGTACGTCGACACTGGCAATACGACTTTAGTATTCCTGACAATGGCATCGACGATCTCAGCAGTGCAGAAACCGAGAGCCCAGCAGTTCGGTCCTCCCTCACCCTTTTTCCGATTAAGCTCCGTGTCGCTACAAACACAACGCGAAGATTTTATCACTTCTTTAAATTTTCTCAAGAATATCCAGTGATCTTAACCACTGACGTTTTATTTACAGCTTCGGAAATGTCACGCCACTTCTCGGGATCATCCGCCTCTCCCGTTCGTGGGTTTATGTCTCGTATCTTCGTGCCCGCCACGTGAACGCTCGACCATATGGAAACTGTGAAACGACAGATGTTGGAGAGAAAGAGACGTCGTTAACTGTTAGATCGTTTACAATATAACTATAGTATGTGTAATACTTTTCGGTATAAATAATATCTATGTAAAAATCTCGTCTGTGTATTTATGACGTTTAGAAATACTCCAATAGATGCAATTATTAGTGTAAAAATAGTATCTAGTAAAATCTTATCACTAACTACTATCCCAACAAATGTAACTGCTATATAACATAAATGCACACATTTTATATCTATATTATATTCAGTACTTGCTAGAATTACATCGCGAATCTATGTAAAATTAGTCAGGACGTCAATCAAATACCAGATGTGTCGCCTTGTGCGCCGATACTCATGCAGTTGATTGACGTTCGCGCCAGTCCCAACTTCCGACTCAGTAAATCCTGAAACCTGCAGCTATCAAGCAGAGTCCCCGTGCCAAGCACTCTGCTTGAAGGAAACTTGGATAACTTCCAGGTGATGTACGACATCACGTCGATCGGTTGAGTCACAACTAGTAACACCGCCTTGCAAGCCAACTTTGCAATTGTAGGAATGATCCTCTTGAATACTTCGATGTTGTGCTTGACATTCACCTCCTCTTCAAGTTTCTTTTCACAAACCGCAATTACTACTACCGTCGAATCCTGTACCTTGTAGATATCTAAAATACAATCAATTGTAGAGATCGTAGATTATCATGGAAAGGTGATTTCTAGATACGTGTATATTTTAAAATTTTAGCCACATTTTCCTGAGAGAGTTAAGGTATAAATCGTTTCGAATCTTTAGAGAAGACACCTATTCACGCGAAAGAAGCCGTAACGGGAAATAGCTTCGTTAAGAATCAGATACGCCTTTCCGGAGAATCTCTCGCCGGAGAACGACGTCTTTATTCAACCGCGCAATCATCAGCTCCTCGGAAGTGCGTGGAATATAAAACGACGAAAGTGGATAAGAAATTTTCTCCCCTTTCGAGAGAGAATCACCATCGGAAGAGATGCGCTGATAATGACAGCGGGGAAGACAATCCGGCATGGTCGGAAAAATAAAGAGTACAGATCCGAGGCAACACCTTCACAAAATGCTTGTAGTAACACGCAGCGGTATCGCAACTATACGGAAGATACATTTACGACGGAGAAAGATGTTGTTACAGATAAGTTGGCAAGCCCGTAAAAAAGTCGTCCCACTTGTTCCAGTAATTGCTACCTCGCACGAGACAAGATCAGAAGAATCATTCCGCTATCCTTTATAAAGGTATAAATACGAACGCTACGTGTTGTACGCAATGCCGAACAGAGAAAAGTCAAATAAACCGAAATCATTTCTAAGATCAAACGTGGTGCAACTCGATGAAACTACCCACGAGATCAAACCTGATCGTACTACACTCTTTCCGTTACTGTCCCGGATTCCCACGAAGGATACAATGCTTTTATAACCAGCCGCTCATCGGATGGGGTAACCGCGCATTGTACGCACGCTGGAAGCAGAAACAGAAAACCGCGTCGTGGAGCCGATCACGATCGAGATAAATAAGAGTGGACGAGATTTACGAGAGTGTCCGTGAAAAGCTCGGGGGAAACGTTCGTCCAGTTCACCAGCATATAAGCGGCCAGCGATGTAGATGAGAGTAGAGATTAAAGGACAGGTCCGAGGGAATTCTGGCCTCCAAAACTTGCTGCTAACTCAAAACCCACCTATGCGAGAACGTTGTTTCTGAATCGCTGCACGTTGACAGAGACCCCTTGACATCCGTGGGCCTAACGGATCGTTGATTTGAAATGGGTGTTGATCGGAGCAGATCGTGACACATTGCAGGTGACGCTCGGCGGATTCATCAGTCCAGACGTATCAATCTAAAATTTCTGGAATTTGTACTGTCTCGCACCTAACGCGCGAAAGGCCTACATCGTCCATGGACGTTCACGACTCGTTGATTCCATGATTAGAGCACGACGACGAGATCTAAAGTGTTAACCGCTATGACAACTCTAACACTAGCTTTATCTGACACAGATGTGACGAGACGTTTTGTGTAAGGATGATATATGGTCAGAAGCAATGGGAAAAAGTAGAGTTGGATAGATGTAAGTATTGTGTAACTGATATAGTTTTTTATTTATTGCTATTATATAATATGTAAATATGTATCTTTAGCAAGAAAAATACCTGATGTGCCAACTACCAGAGGGCATCCCAGAAAGATACCAGCGTGCTGAATGTCCTCGGCTTCGGCAGAAGCTTTGTCTGAATTTTGATCGATCAAACAGACCTCACTCGCTATCCGCTAAAAAGATTACGTAAAAACAATTAATCAAAGCTTGTGAGCTATACAGAGTTTATCTCAGGATTTCCGTACAAATTTTAACAAGTATGTTTTAGGACTTGAATTAAAATATATATATATAAACAGAGATCCTAAAATACTTTACAAAAAATTTTCATATATACATGAAGGTTTCCTTTACCCTCGCAAAAAAGGCGATAAATTCAAAATTATATTAATTTAAACTTGTATTTACATGGGCGGATATCAGTTTAAAATATAAACTTGTTTTTGTAAAAAGTAAAATCATTTTTTATACATTTCACATTTTTGTTGTAACTTTTTAATAAAACATTTTAAAATTTATGTTTATATAACATTTTCTCTTATTTCAGCTCATATTTATTTCAGAATACTGTTAGACTTTGTACGAAAAATTCTAAAACACTCTATATAATAGATCTATATATGTTATATACAGACTCTCATCAGAATTGCGATAGCACAAGCCATTCCAACTTTCCTTGCACCCACGATCGAAATTTTGACAGGATGCGGATAAGCATCGCACGGTCCCAGCTGCGTCGTTATTAAAGCATTTTTCGTAGTGGTTATCGTGATCGGAGTTTTATCAGCCTATTAAACATACGTTGTCCTATGTCGTAACTATGCCTACTTGATAATCTACATTTTACATCGGTAGAAATATCTCTACTGTCATAAGCAAGCGTCATTTCTCTTTCTAGATTTGAATTCATTTAGTTGACGAGACATGAAAGAGCATTATCCCCGTCTTACATCATCGCATTCGGTTTCATCTGGCACTTTGCTGTCGGCATTGCTGTCCCCTAGGATATCACCCCTTTTAGATGTGTCAGATCCTTCGTCGGCCATGCTCCAGTCGTTGCTGTTAGATTACCGAGCAGCTGCATGAGCAATACATTTAATGAGAACACGATCCCAGTCGTCTGTGTACTTTAGTAACTAACATAAGTGTGTAATCGCACCCTGTTCGTTCGAGACATATTAACGCTTTAGATATATCAACCGTGTTGTTTCATCATCCTTATTACCTCAATCGCGTGACTTCCTTTTCCTTGTGTTATTAACTTCGACCGACGCGGTGGTCGCAACTTCTCACTGGAGCTTATAAATGAATAGCGGTCGAGTCGGTGCTCACGCTTATGCAGATCCGGATCGACCTACGCAGAAACGAGTCATCGGTTTTTGAGGTGAATCGGGTATATCGCCGTTATGAGGAAGAGAAAACGTCCGCGAAGAAGAGGTAACCGCTCGCGAGAAGATTCCGATTGGAAGAATAACGGTGGAACTTATCCGCGCACTTTGCTGTAAATTAACTGCAGGTAGTCGTAGAAACGCAAGTAACTCTTCGTGCCTCCCGTCGCGTCGGTGTTCCATCGGTACGCTCCAGCGGCACATACACTCGCAAACATATTTATGCACGTGGTTGCATATAATATGCGTGTACACGCGTAAAACACTCTGCTATGCCGAGACCTATTAGTTGATCATAACGAACGAATATGATTTTAATGACTGTTCCGAATGAAATAATTAACCCCTATGGCGTACCTACATGCTAAATCACACGAGACTTTCTCGACCGTTTCCACACGAAGGATTCCTATTAAAATCCTGAAAACAGATTTTTCCTTAAAATGAAATACCGCCGACTACGACGAAACTTTAACAGCTAATAATGATGCAAAAGCTCTGAGTAATATATTTCATATGTCTAATACATTATACGCCCTCTTAACGTTGAGCGTGAAAATAACCGAAGAATTTTATTTATCTTTTCATCTTCAATTCACATCAGCATTTAATAACTTAGTAATTATGCCCGATGAAAATTTATGTAAAGAAAAATTCAAACGTGGCGAAGTCTCATTCAAGTTTCAAGAGAAAAAAATCGTCTAATTTATCATATATGTTCAAATAAGTGGACAGGAGATTATTAACGTCACCTTGTTATATTATTTTCGAGACAGGCCTAAAGACTCCGGGCAAACCATAACAGAAAAAAAAGGGAAAAAAGCATGTGATGCTATATATTCTTCCAAATGTACGCGTTGAAAGTAACTCCTTGCGCCTCCGATATAATACTCGAGCGACAATCTTAACCATCTGAAAAGGGACCAGTTAAAAAAGTAAAACTTTTCCATTTACTTTGGTGCCCGCAGATAAATCATACCCACTGCATTTAGGAGTAGCGGGCGAGGCGTTCCCGGTAGTTTGGGCATCGCGAAGTTTTAACACACATTCGAAGATGGATCTGCCTCTCGAGAGAGGTCTCGTTTTTCGCGCGTGGTCCATACGACTGGTCCGATCCCGCGCTCACGGACACATTCAATTTTAGCGTTAATAATTGCTGGGAAAAATGACGACCTTAAACATGGCCATTCATCAGGGCCGATCGATATTGCGAATGCGCCTTAACGACGGAGAGATACCATCGGCCGTCCCGCTACAAAGTTATTGAATCGCGTCAAATAATATACGAGCCAATAATGTATGAATAGTCCTGCAATTATGGCCCGCCGATCGTATCTAAGGGCATGTTGTAATTTAGTAATCGTTCATTCTCACTGCGCCGGATGGAGACTCAACGAATATATCGGTGGATATCGATTGCGGGGGTATGTGATTTTTTTCCACAATTCCAAAGTTTAGGAAAAGCAATTGCTATATAATTCGCACAACTCGATAAAGCAATCCCCCGCTCTCCACGATTACTCGCTACATCATCTGATTCTCTCGCAGCGGCTATATCTCGCTAGGTTGTTGTAGGTTTGTAATAGGATAATATGTTTTCTATCTTTTTAATGACCCCGTGACACTTGTAACCATTCATAATGCCAGTTAAAATCGGTATCTACCAATTAAACGATTTCCTAATAACATCCACGCCGGATCGGGAAGATGGTAGGATCGGAGGTGAGGAAGTAATTTCGAATCTGACATTTATAGTTAAGCGCCGTGAGTGGGAACGAAGCGCCCTGCTTCCAGATAATTAATTCTCTACCTTAATTAATCATATGAATTTTATCGAACGTCGAGGTGAAGAAACGCGATACGAATTGATACAATATCGTCGTAAGAATTTTCCTATATCTATGACAAAGTTTGCCGACCAATGTCAGTATATGTTGCCAAAATTCTCGCGTTTCAAATTATTATTGTAATTCTGCGATACCCTAAAATGTATTGATGCGAAAGAGGCCCCCGTACGAAGACACGAATCGATCGCGATAAAGGCATGATTCGACGATAACAATGTCTCGTAAGGTAAGATTTAGTCGAGTGGACGGTGCAAACGAGTCCCCGCTTACCGCGGAGATAATCCTCGAAGGTTGGTCGTAAGCAACCGATCTTCTGGTACCCAGACCCAGTCAACCGATCCAGACACCGGCTTGCGCATGCCTTCGGTGCACAATGGTAGTATTGCAGCTGATACAAGTATGTTCGCCGTGCAACCGGAATTTTAATTGGCTATTTGTTTGTCCGCTACACTTCGCAGAGCTGCTATTGTCCGCCCTGCCGCAGGAGAACGACCATCACCTCTCCTCTCTCTCTTTCCTTACCTCGTCCCTTCTTCCACACCCTTTCCATTGCTCGTGGTCGTCGCTTCATCGCCCAGTATTAATCTACTTTTAAGAAAGGAAGCGTTTCACGCACATACACATACACACGCTATCACGAGATCGCTCCCTTAATGCGTTAGAATTGTTTGATTTAATCCTTGAAATTGGAAATCTTTTCTCCGAGCACAGACCGGTATAAAAAAAAGATTAGAAATTAATTAAATTTTTCAAATCAAACACATTACTAAGTTTTATGTGTTATATAGATTTCGTTGTTTACAAAACAATCTGGCAAGTATTATATAACATTATTATCAATATATTAATAAATACTGCCTCACTTTAATGCGATGTATACACATCATATATGTATGCATACATTTATTAAACCAATTAATGATATCGTATAAAAAATAAACATTTTATTATTTTCAAAACACAGTTCTTATCTAAATGCATTATATAACATAATCCCTTATCTCTTCAAATTCTTAAAAATTTCCGACTCTCACACCTTTTATTTCATAATTTTAATTCTATATTGTATAATATTAAAATATATTATGAAATCGTTCGATTTTATGTTCGTATATTTCTATGCCATATTGATCATTTTGACGACATTGCTTCTATTTTTTAATCTTTACTTTTCTCAATGTGAGAAAAAGAAGTCAGGAAGCTGCAGACTGCAACTCCACTTAATCAACAGTGCAAAAACAATGTAATTCAACTGTTGGAAAACGTAGAGTTCCTAAAAGTGAAGCAAGAATGGCTCACGAAATATAGCACTTTTTATGTACGCTCCATGAGCGTTAAAACTTATTCCAATTAAAATGCTACCTTTACTGTAGACAGAGACCCGAGCTCAAGATAAAGAGACTGAATGACCCAACATTAAAGAAGGATACATGTTGCGCGAGAGATCATGCCATCGGTACTCTCGGAAACAAAGATCACGAACACAAAATCGGCAGCCCAAGAAACATATTTTATTGATTTTTTTGTGCATCTGTTGCATTGATTAATCGCAATGTTATTTATAAGACTTCGAGATTCATTTTCGCCACGGTAATTATGGACCATTTGAATGGGCTGCGCGAGGGGGTTTTCCTTTTTGGAGATGTGCGTGCGTTCCAGCGTAATCTCACCAATGATCACGTACGATATTAAAAATTTGCCAGCTCTCGGCTTTCAATCGAACGCCGGAGATCTCGGAGCACGGTCGTAGGAGGTCGGGGCTTACGTTACGTACCCGGCCACGTACGTACGACCCCCGTGGCTCGCTGAAATATCGCACGGACGCCGGTTCATTTCGATATTCTTGGCCCTGGGGCCCCGATGAGGAGAACTCTTCTCGGGATCGGGGCGGCGGAGGACGGCCAGCAAGAGACCTCTCGTTTTATTACATTGCATCGGGAAGGGGCGAGGCTGACGCGCAATTGTTTATGCCCATGTCCCGCCCTATCGGACGCATCGGACACATTCGAACATACCTACCACGTATACGCTGAGTCTGCTGCGCGATGGTGGTGGTGAACGGACGTGGTGCGCGCGAACTGTGTGTACCCGTACCCTCTCGTCCGCAACTCTACCGCACTCCTCTCCGTACTCCTCCTCTTTGTTTCTTCGTTCGGGCTAAGATTATTAATGGCCAGACCGAGGTCCGATACCCCGAAGTGTCAGTCTCATGACAATGACGAAGCTCACACCTCGAGTCCACCCTCCCTGTCTTCTTCCTTCCACTTCTCTCTTCGTCTGACGACGAGTACTGTGCGTTATCGCGTGTGACTTCGATTGACGCCGTGGGTTATTGCAATGGAAATGGTACGATTTGCAACGCACACCAAACGCTCGAGATCGCACAATCAACCTTTCATGCATTATTGTTATTGATATTTTGTGATTTGTTTCACAATTTTAATAATAATAATCATCTTATATATATATAAATGATAATGAATATTTTTTTAAATTTTAGTTTGCATTAAAATGGTTACTTCTTACTAAATTAAACTATGTAAAATTGTTAAATATAGTTAGAAAATTGTATTCACAAAAATATTTATTATACCTGTTCACTCTATTCAGGTGAAGACTCGGTAAAGACAAATATAGAGGAAAAAAAGGAATAAAATACGCGCGCCTTATTATAGCTTAGGCAAACACTCAGGAGAGAGAATGCAAAAAAGGAATGGTGCGAGGATCAACTGGCAGATGTTCCTAAATGATATCTATATGAGCGAGTAGAGTATTTTGAATGACATCAATGGTAGCAGGTGCTGGCTATCAGATCGTCGAACGATCTGATTTAAAGCGGATATATAGATCATGAGAACACAAAACTGCTTTATTTTCTCTTCAAACAAGCGAACTTAATCTCACATCGAGCCACATTCCTAGGACCTCCCAGGATACGCGTCAGGTGAAAGGAAGTCCATCGCAAAATTAAATTCTTACGCACCGTGATTTCATTTAATTAAACACGAAATAACACCGAATGTAAAAATTGCTCAGAGAGACGAAGCAATCAATTCAACTTTTGCAAAGAAAAAAAAATGCAGACGTCAAACCTGCGGCCTCCGTTCAGCAATAATTAA